GCATGTGACATTATAGGTAAAAATTGGTTGAAGAAAAAAAAAAACGTGAGAGAAACCTTGTCTCCGAGTTCATGTCAGAGACGTTGTCTTCACGTAAAACCGAAACGTGTGATGGATCCGACAACGCATGGCAGAAACAGGACCCGAGTTTTCACATCACCAGTGCATTTTTCGTGTGAGAAAATCGGACTTCCGAGGGTTTTCATTCCATGGAAAATGCATTCTCTCACATTTGGATTCTACCCTTAGTGCCTGCACATCACACACACTTCAGACTCCCTGTTTATTCCACAGCAGCATCCATTAAGATGTTTTCACGTTGATGTGCTGAGAGATACTGGGCTGAATGATTCTATAGGGAGGGAATATCACCAGGAGGATCACACTGTGAGCTTTTGTATGAGTCCTCCATCGCGGACGCCTTCAGTGATTGCCTCAGCTCTTCTTAAAAGTCCTCTTCAGGTTTCTCAGAGACACAGGGCAGGGACCACAGCACTCCACACAGTAGAGGGATGCATCATTTTGTTCCATTTCAGCAGCCAATCAAAACTGTTCTCTCTCCACAGCCAGCGCGGTCATTGGCCCATATTTTTGAGTCATTAATATTAACCATTTTTGGTCAGTGTTACCCCACTCCCCCATCACTATCTGACAGCCAATACAATTTGTAATGTCATTTTAATGTTTAGAAAATCTGTAAATTTTCAGTTTCAGTATTTTACAGTGTTTCTATATTCATGTTTTTGAAAATAGAAATGTCGACAAAGACTAAGTCTTTGTTTGGGAAGAGCTGACTTCCACCGTGTGCTTTCCCTGTAAGACACTGATATCCCTGTTCTCTCATAGATATACTCAGCCCGAGCTGAGATATCAGTGCTCTGAAAGTCATATGCCTGAGGAAATTTAAGAAAGCATTTGCATAGGACAAAAGCATGCAGCTCTGGTTTCAAAGATACCCTTGGCATGTCTAGTTGATGCATTTGCATGCTGGGAACCAACCTGAAGGGAAGAGAGTGAATGTGTGAAGCAGCGCCCGCAGTTTAAACTCAGAGCCCTGTTTGTATCAAAGCTGACTGTATTACGGTGTCCTCTGAGAGCCCCTGCAGAAGTTCTACAGCTCAAGCGTTTGGCGCAGGTTGGCATTTTCAAAAATCACGGAGAGCAGAGGAGGGTCCCCCGGGCCCTCCCCCTGTGCTGTGGGCAGCGAGGTAAGAACGAGGGAGTGAGGAGAATAGCTCCTGGAAGCATCAGTAGGGGAATTTACATTTACAGGTTACACATCTACCACCGTTACAAATTTACAGTGTGCTCATCTAGTGCTACACACAATTTACAGTGTGCTCATCTAGTGCTACACACAATTTACAGTGTGCTCATCTAGTGCTACACACAATTTACAGTGTGCTCATCTAGTGCTACACACAATTTACAGTGTGCTCATCTAGTGCTACACACAATTTACAGTGTGCTCATCTAGTGCTACACACAATTTACAGTGTGCTCATCTAGTGCTACACACAATTTACAGTGTGCTCATCTAGTGCTATACACAATTTACAGTGTGCTCATCTAGTGCTACACACAATTTACAGTGTGCTCATCTACAGTGTGCTCACTACTCATCTTGTGCTATTTTACAGTGTGCTCATCTAGTGCTTTACACAATTTACAGTGTGCTCATCTAGTGCTACACATAATTTACAGTGTGCTCATCTAGTGCTATACACAATTTACAGTGTGCTCATCTAGTGCTACACATAATTTACAGTGTGCTCATCTAGTGCTACACACAATTTACAGTGTGCTCATCTAGTGCTATACACAATTTACAGAGTGCTCATCTAGTGCTACACACAATTTACAGTGTGCTCATCTAGTGCTATACACAATTTACAGTGTGCTCATCTAGTGCTACACACAATTTACAGTGTGCTCATCTAGTGCTATACACAATTTACAGTGTGCTCATCTAGTGCTACACAAATTTACAGTGTGCTCATCTAGTGCTATACACTCAATTTACAGTGTGCTCATCTAGTGCTACACACAATTTACAGTGTGCTCATCTAGTGCTCACAATCTACAGTGTGCTCATCTAGTGCCATACAATTTACAGTGTGCTCATCTAGTGCTACACACAATTTACAGTGTGCTCATCTAGTGCTACACACAATTTACAGTGTGCTCATCTAGTGCTACACACAATTTACAGTGTGCTCATCTAGTGCTTTACACACAATTTACAGAGTGCTCATCTAGTGCTACACACAATTTACAGTGTGCTCATCTAGTGCTACACACAATTTACAGTGTGCTCATCTGGTGCTATACATAATTTCAAGCTTCACATCTGTAGCTCCATTTGCATTAAATAAATTTTAAAAATATTCATTTTATTGTCTGCACTGGAATCACCAGCAGTGCTGCAAATTTCCAGGCTTTCCGTTCAGGGTGCAAGCTCAGATTCAGGTTCAGAATCAAATTATTCCCCCTTCCTCCCCTGCACTCGCAGGAGACAGACAGACCAGGACTGGCCCCTACAGAGCAGTGAGGCTAACAAACTCCACTGGGCTTCATCCTTATCTTTCCCTTGTGAGGCTGGGCCAATTATTGGCCTGCCAATCGGACAGACCCTTTGCCATAGACAGTCTCTCCCATCCAGTCATAGGACCCAAGCCTGCTTTCCCAGCATGCACCTCTACGGCTGGAGCCAACCACAGACCTCAGGTTGAGTTCAGGCCTATAGCAGGAGGATATCTGTTTAAACAGGGAGGCGCTAATGAGGGGTGATAGCACAGACTGCGGGGGCCCTCGGCCTAGTCCTGGGGGGCCCCTCCCGTATGCCGTCTTTCGCTCCAACCACAGACGGAACCCCTGAACTGAGAGTTAACGAGCTGTTAATTGTTCTTAATTAGACGCCTTTAGTGTCTGCTGAGGGATGCTTTGCCCTCTTAGGACACAATATGTCTGAAATATCAATGCATGCCATGTGCAATAAATGTCTCATATTCATATTATACAAATTTTAAACTGCTTAATTTCCCATAAGGCACTACATAATAAACAATTCCTTGAGGAAAGGGGTTACTAGATGTAATTGAAGCTGAAAGTGCAAACACCTGATCACTCATACCAAATCATTTTATAGCAGAAACTAAACCAGAAGGAGTTCAAAGACGAGTCCAACAAAAACGAACCAGCCTGCTCAGTGTTAATAAGCATTTTGGGAAACAGTACGAAAGAACTTTCATTCGACAACCTTAAATAATACTGCAGAGAGAAATTGGATGCAGCCAAAGCCAGCGCACACAGTGGGTCCCTTAGGACGGATTCTGAGCGCTCCTGCAGTCGCTGTATTCTGAGGACTTTCTGTCAACATCTTCCTCCATTTTAACAACCAGGATGTAATATTACAGGTTCTGTACAGTCAAAATGGTGTTGTGGAGTCACTGTCCCGTAAACTGGGCAATGACTATTCAGTTACAGAAACTTTTATTTGAAAAATGGCATCTTGTCTCTTCTGCCTCAAAAATCCAGTTATTAACATTGTATATATTGTTTATAGAGACATGTTATTTAAACTAAGATAGTCTGCATTCCCTTGGTGAGCTTAGATATCAGCAACATTATAAAAGCTCTCAAAAAGAGACATAAAAAATGGTTGATCATGACTGACAGTTGACTCAGTTTTAAGAATGTTAGTCCATGAAATGGTGATGAATAAATAAATTACTTTTGATTATATAATTTTGAAACATAATTTTGTCTTATGCACAAATTCGCAGTCACTGATTGGAAGTCGCTCCGAGCAAGCAGAACTCACTGGGAGAATTCTCGCGTAGTTCTTTGACCTGGCTAATGATGCACAGTAGAATTTTCAGTGTTAATTAAATTCTTACTGAGTTAATATCAACACAAGTGGTGTACAATACCAGAGTCAGACGGACTCCATCTGTGCTATCTTGATTGAATTGTCCTTTGCATAAACTTTGTGAGAGGCATTTATAGAGTCACATAGAGAAGTCGATCCACAGTGCGGTCAAATGGAAGCAGGTGCGATCTGAAGCTCTGTTCCAATGCCTCAAAGGAAAAAAACGGAACACATTTAGTCTCACCTGTGAGGATGAAATTCTGCAGACCCTGCATATCACTAGGGCCTGGGTTAGCTACCCCGTTTCTGATGGGAAAAAAAAACGAAAGTGGTTTGTGTATTAAATGTAGAGCGCATCTAGAAACGAGTCTTAATCACGCACCCAGTGCAAGTATCTTGGAATTTTGTCACTATCCGTTGATACATCATGTACTTCTCTACCTCTTTAGCGGTATGATATAAGCCTTGTAGAGGCACAACGCTTGTTTGTGTCTAAAATTATTTTCTCTTCCTCGCATCTCTGATTGGTCCAGGGACTCTTCCATGTCCTTAAGGAACCCTAAGGGCCTGTGCATCCCCCTTAAGGCCCAACGCAGCCCTGATGGAAATTTCATTTTGCGAGATCCTGGGCTCGGCGGGAGCGGCCCCCCAGACGTGCAATCTGCAATTCGATGCGCTCGCCTCCCGTGCGCGAAAGCAGTGATTTATCTCGGCAAGGGTCCTCTTAAACAGCGATGTGGAAGCGATGCTCTTCTGCTGTCTGATCAAAGGGGACTCATCCGGGGGTAGACCTTTGAGAGGCAGGGGGCTGGAGACACACACACACACACACACACACGCACATCCACACCCATGCGCACACACGCACACCACACCCACACCCACAGGCTGCTTTTACCTGCCACGGGTTGAGACTACCAGAATTTGTTTGCCATTACCCAGAATTCAATTCCTTCCATGGGCAGTGGCAGTCAATTTTCATTCTTTCCTCTAGTCAAGGGAACACAATTATATTACATTACATTACAGCCATTTAGTTGACACGTTTTATGCAAATCGACTTACAGTTGATTGGGCTAACCAAAGGCCAATGTAGGGTTAAGGGCCTTGTTCAACAGCAGTGGTGTCCTTGCAGCAGTTGGACCGGGGCTCGAACCACCAACCTCAGGGGTCCCAGTCATGCGCCTTAACCACTAGACAGGCTGCCAATTAGGGCTTCACAAGTCTGTCAAACACTTCCTGCACTGTGCTATATCAGTACATGTAAGGTACTGGTTCATTTCTTCTGACACCACAAAAAAAAAAAAGCTTGTTTTGTACGCAGTTGTCTGGGCAGGTTATTATCTTGGAAATACATTTTTTCTCTAAGGTAGCATATATACCGTAACAGCAAACAATGAAATCTTAAGGAATGAAACTGCACTGGTTCGTTTCATTGCAGCGGCAGTTTTTATTTATTTTAAAGAGGCTTTTGAGAGGGAGGTCTGCATAGACGCTAGGCTAGGTGGCAAGTGCTGGCTGGCTGGGCTCGCAGAGCAGACGGAGGCTGCAGACTCATAAAGACGGAGCATCAGATGCACAACCAACCCAGGCAACTGAAGCATTTTACGAGAGGTCATACTGACAAACTCATGCAAATTATTTTGGGAGACGTGCGCGGCAAAGTCTCTATTTTTACACACCCATTCCATAGTGACGTAATGACAGATCACAGACTGACTGTGCGGTGTCAAAGAGGCTCAACAGAAAAAAAAATAAAAAAATCTTATCAGTGCTGATATTCCCATGAGCCTCTGCTGTACTCTGCTACCCAAATTTCAAAGCAGATCCACAAAAATATGCTTAAGTAAAACTTCATATTGAAAAAGAACACAACGGCAAATGCTCTTTTAATCCACAGAGCAGCAGGGGTTGTTTTTATTAGTTTATTATGCCAAAAAAACAGCCTTAATGCGTGATGTGTAGTTTATAATCACGAGTATTCTCATCATCACTGTATATGATTTTCTCACATGTTAGTGAACATTAATAAATGACTCGTGGTTGAGAAAGGCTGACCGTGGTAAAACTACTGCCTGCATTCCTGATGTCTGAGCCAGGTCAAAGGTCACAGCCTTTGACCTGCAGGGCTGATCTGAGTGCTGGATCTGATGCAAACAGTGATCAATTGTGGTTACAAAGTCAAACACTCCTGTGCCACAGACAGCTTACTGATGTTTACAAAACACATAAACCGATGATATGTAATAATTAATAAACAGATTACGAATGATTATAAATTATTTATTTATGTGTTATGAAGTGTTTTTTTTTTTTTTTTTTTTTGCATTTCCCAATCTAAAGTTTTTCTGCATTTTTTTCAGTCACTTTTAATGACATGCAAGTTGGAAGTTGGACTGCTCTGACAGCAGTGCAGCTGGGCGTGAGAATGCAGTAACAAATAAATATTTTTTTTAAAAAATGATGAAGCAGAAAGAATTCAGACAGCACAGCTTCAGCCATAATCGCCATGGAAACATTGACAGTGACTTTCACGAGGTTGTTACTGTTATATCTGACCTTCGTAAGTATCCACCATTTCCTCCTACTTTTTACCCACCATGCTCTTTGGGAAATGGCAAGGCAAGTGTGTATATATGCCCCAGCCATGCTGGGTTATTTTTTCAGTAGACTTTGGTCTTCACATTTCTGTCTCCTGTGTTTCATTACGAGACAATGTGAGCAGAAATAACACGTTTTTGCATAGGTGATACTGTCTTCTCTTCTCTTGATGGCTCTCGTGATTTATATGCTTCTGTGCATGAAAATTGAAGCAGTTCAAAGAACATGCAGTAAAAGATTGAGCGATTATTACTTCATATGTCTCATTTATTAAACTCATTAGTCATTTATTAACACTTATTAAATTTAATAACATTTATTAATAGATACATATGGGCTTTGGAGTTACAGTATGCCCACCTCCTAAGACAGTATACTCACCTATTAGCCTTATTATCATTAACACATATGGGCTTTGGAGTTACAGTATACTCACGTACCCAGACGGTATACTCACTTCTTCAGTTACCACTTGTTAGCGATGAGCAGAAGCTCATTTAAATTGTATATGCGGCAGACGTACTCACGCGGGCGTGTTGCTCTGAAGCTCGGTGCTGAAGTTCTGAAGAGGCCCGCGCCCCACACCTCTCCCACTGCCCCCTCTCATTGTCATTTGGCTCATTAATCCCACGCAAGAGGACCCAGGCCTCCTCATCAGCTGGATTCAAACCGGCATAATCAAAGGCCGAACGGACCAAGGACAATAGTCAGACTGCAGTAAGAGGTGAATCATTTTATCTTTATTTTAAGACGACCATTATATCGCTCTGAACAGCTGTTTTTTTTGTTTTTGTTTTTTTTTTTTTTTTAAAAAAGGGGGGCCGTGTTTATCCATTTTCCCTCTCCGAATGAATTATTCAGCCTCCTTTCTACTCTTTACCCGGGGAAGAGAAAGACTGACAACAGCCTTCAATCAGCACCGTGCTGTATCCCTTTTATACTGTAGCTTAACTGATTATCATCCCGATCACCCTCCCACTCTCTGCCCTTACCAAATGGGAGACAAAGGTGTTAGTTCAGTCTAATCACAATGAGCTCTCTTCTTAACTCTAAAAGGCGTGTCAGCGTCAAAATGTCCGCCAATTCTTCCTTCACTGCAACATTCAGAGGTTGCTTACGTAAACAGGAGCGGTGCTCAGATTTTACGTGTTGTTGAATGTGTCAATCCGAGCTCCATCATGACTGTTTGTGTACACCCCTATCGTATGTATTAGGAGCAAATACCAAAAAATGAGCGAAGACAACCATGTTGAAGAAGAGACGGATCCGATGTTAGCAGTTGAGGACTGGGAGTTTAATTACACAGCGGACCACAGGAACACACTGAGCAGAATGTTCAATGAATACAACATTTATGCAGTTCAGTTTCAAGGATGACACATTTGTATGTGATGGCCAAAGTAGCCCCAGGAAGTGAGGTCCATATATGGTGACGGGGAACCCTGCGTTCCCCAGACGGAAGGTAGCAGGTCGTTAACATCTGGTCGGATGCGGAGACAACCCTATGTTGTTCTAATACACATTGCCAAATACTGTGCCACTTGCCAGAGTAATCTCCTAACACTCTCAGGCTGAGCTGAGGTGGTGTGCTTGGAGTGAGGGGGTTGGGGTGTGATGGTGATATTGTCAACAATAAGAAGAGGTTTTTTTTCCCCTCATTTTTTAACATTTACCACCTCAGCATAATGAACCAAAAACTGCAATTCCTATGCACTTAATGACTATTATTGTTTTACTGCATCACATGTTCCTTTTGTTATATATGGATATGATTAGCGTGTTGAAGAATTTATGCGCCAGTAAATTCCTTTGGATGAACAGCATTTGCTGAATGTCTAAAGTGTAAAATGTGTGTTAATGATTGGCCCCACTGACCAGCTACCTCCCACAGAGTCAGGAGGAGGAAGCCAGCAGATGCAAATCGTGTATGAAGTCAGAGGACCTCAAAGCTAACATAGGACTTGGCCAAGAAACTTGCAGGTGCCTGGTTAGGCCAGGAGAGGCCGCTAGAGAGCACGGAGCATGGGGAATTCAACCAGCTTAACCCCTATTCTTCAAAGCAAGGTCGCTTTTGCCTTGTCAGTGTCTCCTGAAAAGTTTCCTCAAATGTTTCAGAGGAAATGTCTCCCTCAAATGTCACCACATCCCTCAAACTATCCTACATATTTGTATGTGTATCTATATTTCCATATATGTACATATATGCTGAATAGAGCTGCAGCCCACACAGACGTCTTGTCTGGCCAATCCCTACAGCAGGGTGAGTGAAACGCTCTTATTGTCTGTGGGAGTCTTAATCACAGGCACTCACGTAATCTTTCTTTCTTTTTTTAAATTTTTTTTAATAATCGATGCAAGCAGAAGTAAGAACAAAATGTAAATCAGATTTTATATAGATGTTCCTAATGAAGAACTGCTGAAGGGAAATTTCTTCTGCTTTCTTACAGAAAGAAGAGATACTTCCTAATTACTGGATGTGATGCTAACTAGATGGCTCATCTTCAAAATGGAAAAAAAAATGAAAATGTGCTTCATAATTCCAAAAGCAGCTCTGTAAGTGTACTTAGAAAATCCTGTTGAATGAATTGCCCACATACCAATTATCTTTTGAAAACGAACTCAGAAAGCTTGTCTGATAAGCCTACTTTAATTAACTTTACAGGATAAAATCCTACTGAATGTGGGACACGCTAAAATGTATTATATAATTTTTTTTTTCGACCACGATAGAGTGAATGTCACTTGACAATTTTAAGTGGGGTCAATTCCAAATTAATTTAATTTGAAGATGTCCTATGCATATTTCCATATGAGGTGGGTTGGGTTCTGCCAGTATTGGTTCTTTACATGTTGGTTCTTTAGGTTTGTTTGTGAATAAGTGGGACTGTCTGTCTGTCCCTTCACCCACAGTTTTGTAAGGTCTGGCATCTCAGTTGAGGTGAATGTTAATGAATGGAATCTTGCATTTATTCATTATTCATGCATAAATGACAAACATGTACTGAATTCAGGTTTCTGTGTTGTAAAATAATTCTTCGTGGCAAAAATAAAAGCAGAATACAGTCACGGACCTGTGGTTTCAAAGGAATCTTTGTATCGGAGTATGGAGATGTATAAAAATGTGGTGAAAAAAAAAACAATGTAAGAATGTAAGAAATTAGTCCGGCCTCCAGCAGTGGATACAGACAGCATTTATAAAAACAGCTCTTTTTGGGGAACATGAAAGCGTCTACATCATCCACACTAAGATAAATCACGGCTATCTATCAAAATAAAGTTTTACAAAAATATTATCCCCAATCAGAAAACTTTACGGTTACTCAAGGCCAGGCAAACAAAGAGTATCCAAGGACGGGTGCTGCAGTAAACTCTGGCTCGATGCTAAATTACAAACACAACTGGCACCTCTGATTAGAGCAATGCAACATTTTGCAATATTTTTTTTCAGTTTAAATATTGCTAGAAGTATTTTATATCAACCCTTTTTAAAAGGTCTTAAATCTATGAAAGACAGAATCACAAGGAACCGCCACAAAAAGCCACTACAGCAGTCAAAACTTCATTTCCTGTTCCAGATTTTCCAAAAGAAGAAGCAGATGCTTTTAA